CTGCTTGTGTGTCTCAACGTTGTGATGTGTCCAGTCCAAATGCTCAAACTCTACTGCATTCCTTACTGGGTATATGCTCGTTCCTTCCCCTGTTTCAGCCACAAAGATTTGTTTACTAAGGTGTTTATTCCAAATGCTCGACTGCAATGCAGATATTTGTGATGTGGTTGGATTTCGTGACTTACCTGCACCACCATGGCCATGAGGAAAAGCTCCCCTGGTACCGTGGAGAGGTACTTCATTGCTCCTCGGATGTGATGCTGTCTTTGGAATACATGAAATTTCATACTTCCACTGTGCTTCTTTTGAAACAGGGATGGAGTTATCTGAGAGGAGGACTCACCACGCTTGATCGGGACTACGGTTGGATCAACAACATCCACCATGATATTGGAACTCATGTGATACATCATCTTTTCCCGCAGATCCCTCATTATCATCTAATAGAAGCGGTAAGCATTTTCCGGGTATTCGATAACAGTCACAGTACTGCCAATTTGGCTGTGGATCATGCTTCAATATGTTGTCAAAGCTCTTAATTCCATTTACCTCTGGTGTATTCCCTTTTTCCAGACAGAGGCAGCTAAACCTGTACTAGGGAAGTATTACAAGGAGCCCAAAAAGTCTGGACCTTTGCCATTTCACTTGCTCGGAAGCCTCATAAGAAGTCTGAGACAGGATCACTTTGTGAGTGATACAGGAGATGTTGTGTATTATCAGACAGATTCAAAACTCAAAGGAGAATAAGAACCTGACAACAAATATATAGACTCACCAGAGAATGGATATCATCTATACATACATTGGTTGGATTTTTTCAGTCAATTCATTCGGGAGGTCCATTCCCCCGTGGTTTTGTTGCTTTAAAAGATGCAAACACATCGGTTTGTTAAAACATCAATTTATCAGATGACCATTTGTAATACTCTTGACAAAAGGTAACTCACCTGGCCTCCTGCTAGCCTTCTGGAGGATAACTTGAACTGGGCCCAGTTATATCCTATGCCACTGCAGGGATGGTTAAATGGCCCGTCAAAGCATAATTGAAATAACATGCACAAGAGGTGATACTCTTCAGCACCTCTCGCCCTTTGCGCTATCCACATGAATCCAATCGGCAAGATGACAATCTTTCTCAGAAATTCCGTTCAGAATCTTTCCATCCTCACTTGCATTAACAACATATATGACACTCCTCAATTGCACGCCAACCATCACTAGAAATATATATATATAGAGAGAGAGAGATTAGATTCGATTCTTATTAATTATGGGTTTGTTTTGATCCGGTTATGTATCTATTATATTTAAATTTATCTCTAAAAATAATTCGAGGCCGAAATTACCCAAAAAAAAAAATATAACGTCATGAACACTTCGAATAGATGTAGTAAATACTTTATTGTAATAAAGGAAATTAGTTTTTGAGAAATTAAGGAGGGAAACCAACCGAGTCGATCCAAAACCATTTAATAAAAAAAAATCATATAACAAAAAAATGAAAACGAAATAATAAAAGAAGAAATGGTGGGAAGGTGTTGGTTGTCCCATCGTAATCAACGGCAGACCGTCACTTTCTCCGATACAGAAAGATTCTGTCTGTCTCCTGATTTGAGCACGTGGAAAATGTGATTGAAAAAAGCATAATGTTCCATGGACCAACTTTTTCATGCACAATCCGGACAACTTTTTCATTTGATAATATATTGTTTTTTTTTTGTTAAAATTTGATAATATATTGTTATAAGTCTTATAAGTCGTAGTAATTAAATTATAAAAACCGAAACTGATCCCATACGTTTTGATTTTGTTTATAGATTAAATATTCAAATAAATCATATTTAATTCATATAATACATATTATATGTAAAATTTTAATTTAAATCAGAATATTTTTTCAATTTTAATATACTTATAAATATTTCATAAATAGAATAAAATTTGTAAAGATAATGGGAATAATCGAATTTGAATAGTAAATCTATGTTATTTGTGAATTCTAATATAGTTTCAAACACTATTTAACACTATATGTACATTATTAAAATATTTATTAAATAATATATCTGTTTCTTTATATTATTTTTAAATATTTTGAATATAAATAAACACATATAGAAAAAATATTCAGTAATCTTTTAAAAATAATTTCAACTTTTATAAAGAAAATGATATTTTTAAATACATTTTCGGTGTTGATTTTTTTTTTATTTAAAGTTTGGCCCAGTGAAATTCGAACTGGGTGGTTTAGGAGTACTTTGCTATCCAACCACAAGGCCACTCCACCCGGATTTTTTCGGTGTTGGTTGTTATGCTTGTGTTTGTCTTTGCCCTTTCTCCTCCAAAAAACGACAAGCTAGTGAAACGATGGGGGACATCTACTTCACCCACAAATGTTATATCAAATGAAACACTCGTGCGTATTTATCTTTCCACTATTCTTTTTTCTTCCGATATTAAAAAATATTTTTTTTCCAAATAATTAACGAAGTTTTCAATAGAAAAGTTATAATAGATGTAAATTGGATATCCAAAAATTCTAGATTTATCGAATATCTCAACAAAATTTTGTATTGTCAATTGAGGAAGAATATTCACATGGATTTTTGATATATTGAATCAAAAATTCGATAATTTTTTAGATTATAAAAAAAATATATGTACCGTCAACTCGAGATTAATTGTGAGGTGGTGGTGAATAGACCACTCTTACAAGAATTCCATGAACTGTCGACTAGATTCATCGAGCTGGTCCATTTGATCGAGTCTATTTCCTTAACCTCTAGTGAAGGGAGAGAGAAAGGGAGGTGGTATGTGACAGAAGTTTGAAAAGGACTTATGAGCGAATGATTTTTTTAGAAAAAACTTTCATGGCATATCATGACATAAATTCTAACAATATTTTTATAAAGGTAATTTTTCTTAAACTGAAATTTACCGGATCTTTGTTTTATCTATATCTAGGATCGAGAAAATTCATGTGAATACTTCTAAGTGATGATTCAAACCCGGATTGAGAATGGACTTTTATAGCTTGAATGTTGTTTTTTTTTTTGGTATCTGGGTTTTCTGGATCGAGGTCCAGACTAATCTCGGGATCGGAAACCAACCGTATGATTTGAATTATGCGTTTCCTCCCTAGCCTGGATTTCGAATTCGGGGCGGGACAGACGCTTTGCGTTCCCGTTTTACCGGTTGAACTGTTGGGTTTGAATGTTGTTTTGAATTAGGTTAAAATATACAGAGATGGAACCTGCCTGCATATAGTTTTTGAGTGGAGGGACGTCATTAGAAGGTGGTGAGCCCAATTGAATAAGAGACCAATGTAGCAAATAGAGGAACACATCCATCAACCACAGTTACAATCATATCGAAAATCACACATATACATATATATACATAGAGAGAGAGAGAGAGACTCATTAAAATCAAATTAAAATAAACATGAATGACAGATAACATCTATCTTTTTTTTTTTATCTGAAAGGATTTTGAAATATTTTAGGAAATCTAAGAACATGATCCAATGTTATCTCATATTGAAAGTCTTTACGTCATTGCCGACGTCAGGCTTTTGCGTGAACCACGATAATAAACATAATTATCAATGAGAATTAGCCCACATGGTTATATACATAATATATTATTTGGAATTTAAAATATTATTTTTTATTTATTGCAAGAATCGATCTAAATCATTGACTTCTTTCTTTTCTTTTTGTTATAAATAATTGAAAAATTATTGATATATTAGAAAATTGAACTTATTTGTTTTCAAATCCAAGGTATTCTCCTTCGAAAAGACAACTATGTTTGTAGATGACAACTCTAGGAAATAATCAAGTATTATATAACTGTCAGGTGAAGTTGCTTAAGGGATAATCTTTGCCAATTCATGCTTTTTGAGATGTGAAAATATATATTAAATTAAGAAATAAATAGAAAAACACATAGGATAAGACCACCGATCTATCTTTATTAAAATTAGATACTCCAATTTCGATATATAAAATTGAGTGGAATAAATATAAATGTTTTTCATCAAAAATTGATTTGATATATTTTTAAAAATCAGATTAATTGAACTTAAAATGAATATAAAAACAATTTGCAAAACAAATTTTCCACAAAAAATAAATTTTTTAATAAAATAGAATCCTAACTAAACTTAAAAAAAAATCCAAATCAAACAGAAAATTAACATAAAAAAATAAATGGCTATAATATTTAAAAATGAATAATAAAAATTAACACACCTCATCTCTTACGTCTATGTGTCGGTTTGAACATGTGAAGTTCAATTGATTATAGTTTTCTATTATTGGAAATTATGCTTTCTATTTTGGGAAGTGAGCCAACTGATAACTTCCATTCATGGTGATACAAGTGACAAGATGAACATTTCCTACATATTAATTGGAGACGACCATCTTGGCGTTGAATACGTATAAAATTGAATATCAATTTAAAATTATATAACACATGACAAACTAAATAAAGTTGTATTAAATTCAAAATTGAATATAAAAATAGTTAATAAAATGGACGAAAATATTTTAAAAAATAAATATTTTTTTTTATTGAGAATAGAATCCAATTTATATGTCAATAGATTATAAATTAAATAGAATTGGTAAAAATAAAATAATTCAAAACTAAAAATATAAATTAAAAAATAAACAAATTTGAAACTAAAATATTCTTTTCTAGTTGAAACTCATACTTTAAATAAAAATAAAATATTTGGAATAAAAAATTCAAATATCAATTGATAATTTTTTTTTTAAAAACCCATTAAAGTGTGGACATCTCATTTATACAATACATCAGTTATTATTTGTAAGAATACTATGGATAAACTTCGGATATATAAGATAATTTTGTATTTTTCATAATCCTATTGATTATTAGATTGTTCAAATCTCAATTATAAAAGAAATAAAAATTCATTTAAAAGATATAATATATAATTATTATTTTATTAAATATATGAAAAAAAAATATGTAATAAAAAATATAAAATTTCGATAAATTTTAATTTTCAAATTATGAAAAATTTTAAATAATAAAATTAATGATAATTTGAAGAAAAAAGATAGTATCGTTGTAATATAAGATTTAACTTGAATCAATGAAGAAGGTGATGGGAGAAAATGAATAGAAATGACACGTGTCAATACGTCATACTCATGATTTAAAAAGAGTTATAACATATAATACTAACGTTTTGATTTTTTTTTTGGTATTTCAATCTTTTTTTTAACCGGATTTCTTGGGTCGAGGCACAGACTAATCCCGGGATCGGGAGCCAGCTATGTGATTTGAATTATGCGCTCTCTCCCCAGCATCAAATTCGAACTCGGGACGGGACAGACGTTTTGCGCTCTCGTTTCACCGGTTGAACTATATACCCAGATTGGATTGGTATTTCAATCCTAGTTGAATTCTACTATTTTTCACGTAAAATAAAAACATAAAAAAAAGTTTTCTGAAAAATAAGAAAATTGGAATATAAATCATAAAATTAAATAAATATGTAGCCATTAATATTATTTCATTTATTTGTATTTTCAAATTTTTATTTTTAGATAGATGATCATATCGTTCCGTAAAAAGGAAAAAAACCATAGAAAATGCATATGTAACCCGTGTAAAGATTAAATTAAATTTTTGTAAATAAATATTATTAGTTCAAAAGCAGTTTAAGTTGACTATTAATATTTACTAAAATTCTAGAAAAAATCCAGCTCATATTTATGTGATTTTTCCCCTTTCCTCATGGTCTAAATTTCAACATTTTTTACACGTTCCTTAATCAACATCATGTTGCTTTCGCTTCACCACCTTGTATTTATCAATCCACCTTCGGTTTTCCTCCCCCACAAATCCCTAAATCTCTCTTCTCTTCTCCACCTCCCTCTCTTTAGCCACGTATACATACACCAAGAAACAAAAACACTTATCCTAATTAATTCTCATGACCGCCACGATCAAGAACCAAGATCAAGAACCATGACCGAAGAGGACAAGAACTCGAACAGCGTCCAGTGCTTAGACGAGTGGCCCGAACCGGTGGTCCGAGTCCAATCCCTGGCGGAGACTAACCTCTCCGACCTACCTTGCCGATACATCAAGCCACCCTCTCAGCGTCCTAACCCAGAGGACGCATCCTCCGACCAGCAAGGGCACGCAAACATTCCGATCGTAGATCTGGCCGGACTTTTCTCCGACCAAACGGGTCATCTCCAGACGGACAAGACATCGATCTTGGAAGAGGTGTCGGAAGCTTGTCGTGAGTGGGGATTCTTCCAAGTGTTGAATCATGGAGTGAAACCAGAGCTCATGGATGCTGCGAGAGAAGCATGGAGAGGGTTTTTCCACTTGCCCATGGAGATAAAACAGGGCTATGCAAATTCTCCAAAAACGTATGAAGGGTACGGAAGCAGGCTTGGGATCGAGAAAGGCGCGATTCTTGATTGGAGTGATTATTACTATCTCCATTTTCTTCCTTCGCGTTTGATGGATTCCAACAAGTGGCCTTCTTTGCCTGGTAACATCAGGTAATTTAGCTTTTTCTTTTCTCTTCTTTTTTGGCGTCTGCGTCTGCGTTTGCGTCTGCGTTTGGACGCATGTAGTTAGTTGGTTCCGACCAAGAGATATCATCTTTGTCAAATTGATTCGGTCATGTTGATTCATTGTACCTCACATTGGATTTTATTTGTTCTGTTAACCATAAGTCAACACAACGGTTTAATTATTCGCTTTTATTTTATTCGATTATGGGGAAATACCCAATTCCCAAAAAAATAAGTTCACTTTTTTCACGAGGAGAATATAGTACCTCCTGAGTTACATATCTACATAATTTTAAATATGGGTATTTGTGTGTGTATATATATATACACACGCATATATATATATATACATGTAATTTTAAATATGGGGGGTACTTGTTCTTCTTCTTCTTCCGGAGGACATTATTAAGAAAACCGGTCAACGGTCCAAAATTCAAATTCTCCACGTTGTAATAAAAAAAATGAGAAAGATGTGTGCATATACATATATATATATATATATATATATATATATATATATATAGTGTTGTAATAATTGATATCTTATTGAACAGAGAAGTGGTTGACGAATACGGCAAGGAACTCGTGAAACTTGGAGGGAGATTAATGAAGGTATTATCGGTAAACCTGGGATTAGGACAGGATCAACTCCAGAACGCGTTTGGGGGAGAAGACATAGGAGCGTGCTTGAGGATTAATTATTACCCAAAATGCCCTCGGCCGGAGCTTGCCCTAGGACTCTCCTCCCACTCCGACCCCGGCGGCATGACCATTCTCCTCCCCGACGATCGAGTCGCCGGCCTCCAGGTCCGCAGACACGATGCATGGATCACCGTTAAACCTTATCCGCACGCTTTTATCGTTAACATCGGTGATCAGATTCAGGTATTTTCGTACACTTTTTCGTTTTATGAAATTTTGATAATTTTATATTATATATTTTTTAAGTAAATTGTTCAACTTTATACACGTATGTATGCATGTATAATTTTTTTTGTGATAATCGGGTTTCTTGGGCCGATGGCCAAACTAATCCTGGAGTCGGAAGTCAGGCATATAATTTAAATTATGCGTTCTCTCCCCACCCTGGGGTTCGAACTCGGGATGAGACAGACGCTTTGCGTCTCCGTTTCACCGGTTGAACTACCCAGGTTGGGTCGTATGCATGTATAAGTTACTAATAATTTTGAAAGAAATTAATAAAAATAATTTAAAAGAGGTTCGATTTGATCCGGAAGTTTTTCTGTTTTTTTATTGTAAGTTGTATTTGTATTAATTGAGAATATAAGAAAACATATCATTTCTGAACAAATTATATGGATACGCATTAATGAAATGGTGATAAAATAATATATATATATATATATATATAAATAGTAAATATAGAATATAAAAAATAGTAGGAAAAATTGCATATAAATACTTGAATTTTTGTAAAATTTCCAAATAAATATATGAACTATAAAATTTCTACATAAATACCTGACTTTTTAAAATTTTCACAAAATATCCAAACTTTTAAAAATCTCTCAAATTAAACAATATTCGTTAACGGTCTTTAACGTGTCAAAATGTTAAATCATCAATTTTTGACGGATTCCGTTATAAATTAAACATCGTTAATGGATTTTGATTTTATTTGAGAGATTTTCAAAAGTTTGGATATTTATGTGAAAATTTTAAAAAGTTCAGGTATTTATATAGAAGTTTTATAGTTCAGAAATTTATATAGAACTTTTACAAAAGTTCAGTTATTTATATACGATTTTTTCAAAATAGTATTAACTAAATATAAAGGCGGAGAGTAAATTTTAAAATGTAATGGTCTTCCATAAACTAAATCACCATAATATCAAACTAACATGATAGGGGTTATATAATATAATATATGTGAACCGATCTTTAATAAAACTTAGTAGTACCATCTTAATTATTTTAATTAATATATACAAAGTTAATAAAAATATATTATTTATGTACAATCTAATAAAAAAATAAAAACTTTTTGTTTTATTTTTTTTTTTATCATCAGTGGTGGTCGATAATAAAAATTTTATACTGTATCTTTGTATATATACATATGGACGGACCCAATTCATTAATAATGGGATCCTATAACCCATTCTCTTTTATTTAGAAAAATATTTTTTCTATAAAATTTTACATAAAAATTGTTAAATACCCTCGTAATAACTTTAATTTTACTCGTAAAAAAATTATAATAAATTTACTGTTGTCATGTCCCCATTTATAGGTTTTTTTTTATAGGTCCTGTATATAAATATTTGTTGATCAGTTTTAATAACGTAAAACGGCGTCTATTACATGGAAAAGTGATAGTGTATATATATTTCTTTGGATAAATCGTCGGTCCAATAAATTAAATAAAAAATGAATGTAAAATGTCCGGTCGGTGCAGGTACTAAGTAACTCGAGGTACAAGAGCGTGGAGCACAGGGTGACAGTGAACTCCGACAAGGAGAGAGTGTCGCTCGCCTTCTTCTACAACCCGAAGAGCGACATCCCAATCCAGCCACTGCGAGACCTTGTCGGTCCACACGGCTCTCCCCTGTACCCTCCCATGACCTTCGACCAATACAGGCTCTACATCAGAACTCAGGGTCCACGTGGCAAATCCCATGTCGACTCTCTTTTGTCTCCTCCACCACCTCATCGTCATCCTTGATTATTTACCTACTATATATATATATATAACACCCCTCATTTAAATATGTTTTGATTATTATAATTAAATCTGATATGCATTCATGCTTTTGTTCATGATTGACCGACTCTTATATACATGTTGATCTGTCTGTATATGTATCTTGAAATAACCAGCCAGATTTTGGGATATTTAACTGTACGTTTGCATCTATATAATATAAACTAAAATAAAAGGGAATTTCAAATTATTAACATATTTAACTTGTTTATTTTTTGCAAAACATTCAATTTTTATATATAGATCTCAATTCAAACTTATTCATCACAATTCATTTATAGCTAAATTTTAAACCTTATTTTGGCATTCTTCTCAAAGACACCCTAAATTTCCTTTTAACAGCCTAGAGCCTATTACGCAGTATACATATATACATATATGTATACAATATTGGGCCGACATCAAAAAGTCAACTAGCCTATGCCATTCATTAGTGTCACTCACGTCTAATCTAGTAATTTAATAACATAAATTAATTACTATAAAATGATGATTAACATAGACCATCTGCATTATCACTAGGGCCCTTTTACACAATACACACACACATATATATATATATATATATATATATATATATATTAATTTCTTATTAAAGAATAAATAAATTATTACAAAGAGCATTTCTCCTAGTTCACACCATTCATTTGATAAAGATGTTTACTGTCGAGTAATTTAGTGTAAGGGAAATGATAAGTATTAATTGAGAGAACCAAATTCTCCCATAAGATGATGATGGTGATGATGTTCTTAAAACCGCCTACGAAGATTACAAGTGGAAAAGGCATATACAGTCCTTTCTCCCTTTGATTCCACTCACTACATGTACAGAAGCAGATATCACACCGTCAGCTGACCAACAGTTATGCATAACTCAGGTTTACCAAAGCCTTTCTTCTTCTTCTTATTCTTCTTTAAGAGGTTAGACGAAAGGGAAGGGATAAGAGAGAATGCCTGGGACGAGGTTTTTTGTTTTCACTGCCTTCCCTTCTTCGAACAGCAAGATGGGCATATCTGTACTGTTTGATGATCGCTGCTTTGGCAGGCGTTATCTTGACGCATTTCCCGTGGTACCATTGTTCACATACGTCGCAGCATATCCAGAACTCGTCTTTCGTGTAATTGCCACCGCAACTTCCACAGAGCGTATGCCCATGCTCATCTTCCTCTTCCTCCTCGTAGCTCTCTTCCAGCAGCTTCGTATTGCTCTTCGCTTGCCCTTCTATTGATCTCTGCAGAAAAAGCTAAAACCATTGTTGTTTAGGAAAAACCCATGGTCATTAGGATGTAAAAGCTCCTTCCTTTCCTTTCCTTTCCTGTCTCCTTGACGAGATACCCAAAGGCACTACCATTTGAGTGGAACCCGCAATCAGAATTACATGAGAGGAAGGCAGGACCAGAAGCTTTTCTTCGGATGATATAAGGGGGGATGCTGTTTTGTACCTTTGTCCCGTTTCGGGATTTGCTTCCGGAATCCATGCTTGGCTTGTCTTTGATGGGCTTTCTACCGGTCACTACTTCGAAGAGTGTTGGGAGATCGTTAATCAGGCTAAACAGACGTTTCCTGCTTATTGACAAGCGTGTAATTAACTTCCGGGCATAAATGTGTGAGCAACGAGGGAAAGCAGAGAAGCTGTAACATAATTGACAATGCAAACGGAAACTCGTAAGTAACAAGAATCAAAGCATGAGAGACGTGTTCAACAAATGGGGGAAACTATGGATACCATTACGAATTTACGAGATAAGATTTCTCCATGAAACATGACCCAAAACATGAATGAACATACAGAGAACCAATGTGCTACCAAAAAAGCACAATTTGAATCCATCAGGTAATGATTCAAAATGATTTAACTTTGAATATTACCGTTTCCGTTGGATCTTAGATCATTCCTCCTACACAGGAATAAGAAGGTTGATGACAAGCTTTGACTAATACTACTGCACAAAATTTCATCCTGAGATGAATCCCTAAGGCCTTGAAAGAGAGAACTACTGAAAGAAACTGCAATTTCAGAAAAGAAAGTACAAGTTAACGCAGCATGACCCAAGTGACTCAAGCTACAATGAGCGTAACGGGGTTAGCTAGAACAAAACCCTGAGACAGTTGAATTTAGAACTCAGTTGATCACGAAGAACTATGTCTAATTGATTATGGAAACCATGATAACCACAAGACTGTCCTAGTCATGGAGACATAAACCCGTGATCCGACTTCTATTTCACTTCTGCTGGCCTTTGCGATTATATACAGTAACTCACTAAGATCACCGGTAACAGCTAACCAACAGTAATCCTGTTCAATCATACTACAAGTAATCTTTTTCAGAAGCCTTATTCTCCCTCACAAATCCGGAATTCCCATGCAACAGCTGCATGCCTTTAGATGTATGAGTCTGAGTGTAACACAGAAATAACAAATATGCCACATCCTCTCAAAGATCAAAGAGAAAATGACAATTAAAAAATATGACAGGATAGCAAATACCAAGCATGCAAGATAAGAGCCAACTTCCAATTCGACAAAGCCGGGTATTCACGTGTCACCGTAAATGCTGTAGCCATTCCACAACGCAAAAGTTCACAAAACACAAGGGATGAGAAAAATTTGAACTCGTGAGTTGTGAAAAAGTAACACAGCCTACAATCAGTGACAATCTCAATCCGATATCATTCCATACAGACTCTACTACAGTTATAAAAGCGTTGCTCCTCTGATAACTTCTAGTCAATCCACAGATAAGCGATAGAGCTAAATCTGTTGGTGCTAAGATGCGAGAATACAGTAAGAAAACAAAAGTTGACACACCGTCTCCGACTCATCAGATGATTCAAAGGCAGCAACTTTCTTGATCCGGGCAAGGAAACTCACTTATCACCAATAAAAAGAGCCCCTTTTCCCATCCCATACACATTGCATATTCCACAACAGCGCCACATAAAAAAGAATAAAACCCACATGAACAAAGCAGCAAGAGAACAAAGTACGAGACTGAAAACATTCAAACAACAACTTGTAAATGAAACAAAGCATACCTCTCATTGCGATTAAGCCGAACGCCAAAGTAGAAAGAGACAGAGAGCAACCAACAATCACTGTGGACAGCAACTAGGGAAAGCCAATCCTTTCGCTGCATACCGTCTCTGGCGAAATTGATTCCGAGGGCAGGCTCCGGAAGCTCAGGAGGCACTTCCTCCGCAGGGAGATTCACTTCCCAAGACTCATTTGGGTGTCCATACAAACACAAATTATCCTTCTCTAGAACAACAGAGCACAACTTGAACAAAGAAATTCAACAAGAGGGCACATCACAAATTTCAATGACATGAAGGAAGAACTGAGAAAATGGGTCTCCGAAACTAACAAGGAAAAAACTAGAACCAGCTTACCCGGATCGCATTGAGAGTAGAGCTCATCCACATCTGACGAAATAGCAAAGGAAAACACCGTGAGAGAAAAGAAAAAGGCAAATGAGTACGCATTCCGAAGATATGAGAATTTCAAGAAAAGGGTTCTCGTGTACCTTTTGTGAGAGCGCGAACAAGAGCAGAGCGACGAGCAGTGAAATCCTTGAAGATCTCTTCGACGGTGCGAGGGTTAGAGGAAACAGCGGCCATAGTTGTACAGGAAGAAGATATACGGCCTTGTATACGATATATCTACGAACGAGAATGCGTAGATCAGTGCAGGTAGAGACGGATCGTGGTCTGCATAGGTGGTTTCAGAGACCCATGGAGAGAGAGACGGAGATGGAGTAGGAGGAGGAGGAGAAGAAGGAAGAAAGAAGAAAAAAAGTTGAAAAAAAAAACCAGCGAGAAGATCTGACATTGGGATTGCTTTTAACCTGGGCACTTATTTGGGCTTTTGTTGGGCTTCAGACATGTCCGAATACTTTTGACTTTTAACTACATGCCGTTTTGTATTTTATCCTCTGTCGTTTCTCCTGTTCTAAAACGGCAAGTATGTCGAATACGAATTTTTGTTCTTTTTTTTTTCCTAAAACTTATGTCGGGCCGATAATGGGCCCAGTTCCCTTGGAGAAAATTGCTCCATACCCATTAAAAAAGGGGCTTCGTATCTGCAAACAATGGTCACTGCAGTGTCGTTACTTTGCCTCCCGCTCATTTGCATCGCCGGCGAGGGAGAGAGAGAATGAGATTTGGTTTCGAAGAATCGGGGGATACGTCGGAGTCGCAGCGGTCTCCGGCGAAGAAGGAGGATGTACGGTGGGTCACGATCGGGGACCACCCGGTTTTCGACTCCTCTCTGGCGGCCTCCGACGATGAAGCTTCCGCCGGCGAGCAGCGGTTTCCGAGGAACCTGACGGCGTGGGATGGAGCTTCGAGGCTCTACTTCTGGGATCCTAGACGATGTCTTCTTCACCGTATATCTCTTCGCCTGGGGGAACCTGAACCAGCCTCCATCCTCGCCGAAGTCCCCTCCAAGGTCTCTCTCGTTGCGTTTCTTTGTATGTTTCTTTTTCTTTTTCGCTTCTTTTGGGGCTATGAATGCGAGAAATTGAAAAGAAATAAAGAAATTCTTCTAGGAGTTTGGGGTACGGTTTGTGTGATGCTAAAAGATTTGGCTGACTGGGCTGAGTAGAGAAATTAGGTTATATAAAAGTTAGAGTAGGAGCTGAATCTAAACTACTGTTGGAAACTAGGAGCATATTGTTCTAGTTGCTAAGGTGATTGTGTCGGAAGCCTATAGTTTTGTGTGTGTAGCATAACTTGATCGTAGGGACTTCAGATGAAATTATGGTACCGTCTAAGATATGAGTGATGGCTTCCTCTGAATAAGATGAGAGTAGTCGGGATGAGAGGATCTCGAGACTTATCGATGTCTATGCTTCTAACAGAAAAGAATAGAAGATTTGCTTATCGAAGGCAATCTGATCTTTGACTACTTGGAGCTACTGGAGGAAAAAACTGGCTCGATGATTTTGTGATTTACTTAATCGTTGGAGTGAAAACTTTTGAGGGTAAAAAGGAAAGAAGTCATAGCCGAAAGGTTGCTCTCCTTTTACCAAATTGTAACCTCTTTTTCATTCCCACATGCATTGCTTGTTTTGTTGTGCTATTACATAAGCGGTAAGGAATCTTGTTTTTGCTTAAACCAGTTATCGATGAGTTTGATATTATAGGTAATGCAACCAGATTTCAAACTTGGGTTTGCTGTCAACAAAATCTCTATAAATAGGAATGGATCAGCTATACTTCTTGCTGGATCAGATGGCATATGTGTGATGTTCCTCTTTGGACGCACTTCTGTGGTGAAAGATACTGTTATTTGCAGGTAATGGTTGATTATTTCCATAATAAGAAGCGTTTTCTCCAAGATTTGTTTGATTCAGAAATTTCTTGTGACATCACACCCTAAATTTATGGCATCTCTCTTAAGACCTCATTATTTTATTATCTATGAATTGCAGGACAGTTTCTGTTGGTTCAGATACCTATTTGAGCAGTGGCAATGTCATACACTTGCTGCAAGCGTCATGGCACCCTAATAGTGACACCCACCTGGGAGTTCTCTCTTCAGATTCAGTTTTCAGGTAACTTGTCCGGGTTGATAATGAATGTGCGTAAAGATTTCTTCATATTTGATGACAATGGTTTGGGAACCTTTAGAAATATGTACAGGAAAAGATTGTAAACATAGCACAAGAGTCTAATTTCATCTAATTTTGTATAGAATTCCACAAGATGTAATATATGGCCCTATATCTCATTAAATCAAACATAAATTACGCAACCTAATTTTTATTTTTTAAGAGCTGTTTTTCATTTATCAAAAAGTGACTTCCCGTTTTAATCTTTTCGATAGACTTTTTGATCTGTCCTTGGATCCTGAGAGACCAGAGCAAGAATATTATCTACAGCCTGTTGAACCAGGAAGATCTAGAACAGCTTCATCAATTTGTGCCGTTGATTTTTCTTTTGGAGGAGACCATCTGTGGGATAGATTTAGCGTAAGTTCAATTCAGATTCTTGTCCTGTTAGTTTCACTGTTCTTTTTCCAATATTGTCTTGGCTCTGGTTCTATCACTGTCGTCAAATACACCCTTGAGAATTAAATTTGGACCACCTTAACTGAACTATCTTGGTCTTATTGCGATATTATGTTGAGTACACTAGGGATAACAGCTTTATCTAGCGTCTTATATGCCAACTCGCCTCTGGTTTCTAAATTATGCAGGTCTTTGTATTATTCACCGATGGTTCAATTTACATCCTCTGCCCAGTTGTTCCATTTGGAAGGTAGGCATACTATAGTTCTTTGTCCTATGTATTTATCTTCTAGCATTACTAAGGACATATCTATGTTGGGATGTCTTGTGAAGCTGTAGTACCTGGAAGCATGTTGTAGGCATCTTCAGTTAAGCTTAGATTTTTAGAATATATGATAATATTGATTTGCTCAAAGTAGGCTGTGTGAGCTTAAAGTAAGCTTTGTTAGACCTCAACTCTGTGATGTTTAGTAATTTGAGAGATTTTTTGGAGGGTAAACATAACTTAGTTTTGTAATATCCAAGTATGTCAAATAACATGCTTCACCCTGCTACCCTGTAGAAGTACATTGATTTTTGTAGATCATTCTCTCCGGTTAGAAAATTAGAGAGTATAAGGATGGAAGTGAAGAAACGAGGAAGGGATAGACCTAGACTTACTTGGAAACGAGTCATTAGAAATGACTTGGATATATTGCAAATATCGGAGAATATGACGCAAAACCGAAATGAATGGAAAAGAAGAATTCATGCGGCCGACCCCAAATAAACTTGGGATTAAGGCGTTGTTGTTGTTGTTGTTTTTGTTGTTGTTGTTGTTTTTGTTGTTGTTGTATTCTCTCCTGCATGGATCTTATCTTTCATGAATCAGTGAAGAGATTTTTGTAATGTCTTGTCTCATGTTTAACGGTCTTAGCGGTTGATGGGATCTGTTTCTTGTATTTGCAACAGTATATACAAATGGGAATCCATAATGGAGCTCTACAGTGATGCTAATTTGTTCGGGCCCAAATCATCCAATTCAATAGCAGTTAACAATTCTAATCTGGCAATCTCTTGGTTGGAAGCTACGTTTCCAGATTTGTCTGAACAAGAAACAAAAGGTGAAAACATATCTGTAATGAAAGCTCAACCTTATGCTCTGTTTGACGCATCACTGGCTTTACAGGTAATATTATCATCCTATCTTTTTTTTTTCGTAATTCCATGGAATTTCTGAAGTGTTGATTGTTGGGAATTTATAGTTTACTTGCCTATTTTCAAGACATGTGGCCTTATAAGTTATATTGTTCTGGAAAATTGAGAAGACAAACAAAATCTTTCCTGCTTAGACTTCCTTCATCCATTTCCTGCTGCAACGAAATTATGACACTTCTACTTTCCTTATTTGCAGGGCCCTTTATATAAAGTATCTAATGGTGAAGACAATGAAAGTTTCACTGTCCGGGAAGCAGAATGCAAAGGCCGAGCAGTGAGTTTGTTATACAATCTGGTCAGCAAAGACTCGATTCTGGTAACTGCCTGGAGTGGTGGACAATTACAAATTGATGCTCTGGCTGATGAAATCCAGCCAGTATGGATATCCGATAGTCCACCCCGTCTTTGCATGAACTCCAGTAATAAGATCGTTGGTGTGGCCATGATTTCCGAGTCTAACACAGACGAGCTTCCGGTTGCAAGGTCTAACCAGCCACTTGATCACACTGTTTGGTTGGGGCATCCACCGCCTTTGTTAAGACTGGTGATAGTTGATTTGGCTTTGCCCATGAGTCCGGAAGGTGGTTCTCTTGTTACATTGTTCCCAGACCCTCTCGTGCCAGAAAGAATATACTCCCTCCATGATGGGGGCATTGATTCAATAACCTTGCATTTTCTTCCTTTCACAAGTCAGACCATGGGAAAGGACGATACTATTAGAACACCGTCCGTTCATCCTGTCCTAAGTACATGCCAAGAAGAATCATACTCGTCATCTCCCCTGTTGGGCTGTGTACCTCTGTCAGATTCGTTCGGATACTCTTGGATTTTTGCAGTTTTATCAACAGGAGAGTGCATTGTGCTTGAAATGAAAACTTGGGATTTATTGCTTCCACTTCATGCCGACGGAGATAAGTCACTTCCGAGCTCGGAAGGTCAAAAAGAGCAGCCGGGAATCCGCTGCATCATAAGCAAGGAACTTCTCGCGGGTCCTAAGATGGTTCTTGCTCCCCAGGCTTTACCTAACCAACGCTCCACCCCTGCTGATTCCATAGAAGGCCGATCGGTTCTTCATCAGTATTTCAAGCTTTTCCATGAAAATTATGTGGAGTATGCACACAAGGTGAGAATGCACACCCACATACATATCCTCCAACCGAAAATTGTTTCCTGTTTTGTAGTGTGGCTATGATCCGGGAACTTGCCCCCCCCCCCCCT